ATTGTCTACAAAATGGTTTATTTACTTTTGAGTTCTGACTTTTTCAAAAATTTCTGCAAATAAAACAAAATCATAGAAAAACGTCACGGAATTACATACGCAGGTAGAGTTAGCTGGCCAGGCCGTTTAGTATGATGTAGTATCAATCACAACCATTGCTAATCAGATTGAATTTTTGAATTCGATGATTCGCTGTGTCAGCAACAATTAGATTCCAATGCGAGTCAAATTTAATTGCTTCCACATACGATAATTGATTTGAACCCTGGCCGAATGAACCACCAATGATTGTTCGACCCTCTTGAGCCCCCGGCAATTGTTGTTGAATACGATAATTATTACTGTCAGCTAAAAATATGCAAAGGTATTAGTTTGAGGACGTTACTGTAAAGAGAACATACCTATATACATATAACCATTCTCATCCAATATAACTGATACTGGACACAAGAGTTGAGCATTACCAGATCCTGGGCCATTGAGACCAGCAACGATTATACCAGTGTTGCTACCTTTCAACCACTTCATAACCCTGTCGTTGCCACAATCCGACACAAAAGTGCTAGAAGTTCCATCGACGTAGATACCATACGGATAGAACAGCTGACTAGTCGTATTACCATAACCGTATCCGCCAGCAACAACTACTCCAGTCGTGGCACCTTGTGTCCATAACATAACTCGATGATTATATCCATCCGAGATGTAGAGGTTACCGGCTGAGTCCACAAATAAAGCGACTGCTCGATATCTGGTTGTTATTTGAACCATGTCCGAATAAACCAACAATCGTTGTGCCATTGAGAGGATAAGAGCTTTCATTTAGCTGATACTTCTGAACTCGAAAGTTGAAATAATCAAGCACATACAGACTATTATTATAGATGAATACACTCGTCGGATAATAAAGTTGGTTTGAGAGATTACCAGACCCGAGACCGCCTGCTACGACAACTCCAGTCACTGCATTTGGACCCCATTGGATTACACGCATATTAATAGTATCAGCAATCAATATACTGTCGTTTGAATCAACGAACACGTCAAATGGATTGTGTAGTTGTTTTAAGCTTCCACCCCCGCTTCCATTCCCAGCAATGGTTACAGCAGTCTGATTCCACACCGCTGTTGCTGAACATAAGCTTCTTAAAGAGGCACTTCCTACGAAAACTGACTTCATAGAAAATATTTACATATAAGCGAAAAGTGGCTGTACCATTGATCTTAGTTGTGGTTGTAGTGCGAGTAGCTGAGGTTGTTGTAGTAGTGCGAGTAGCTGAGGTTGTTGTAGTAGTGCGAGTAGCTGAGGTTGTTGTAGTAGTGCGAGTAGCTGAGGTTGTTGTAGTAGTGCGAGTAGCTGAGGTTGTTGTAGTAGTGGTAGTTGTTGCTAAATAAAGGAACAGATGAATAGCTTCATTTTTGTACCTAGTTTATCACTTCTACTTGATGTAGTCGTTGCGGTGGTTTCCATATTGCTCAATGTTGGTTGTGGGACTAGAAAAAGAAACGGAAGTGGAATAAGTTCAATAATATTTACAACCTACTTGTAACCAACATACTCATACAAGTTTGGATTATCTCTATGCTTTTTACTTTTAATTATTGCGCGTTTAATCCTAAATTCGATCACTATTTTATTTTGTAGGTTCTAGCTTTTCGAACATAGTTTTTGGTGAAAGAAATTTGAATATACTAGTAGAGCCTTGAATCTCTTTAACGAGACCTATTGTCGTATTTCTGAAGTAAAAAACAAGATAGGTTTAATTTAACCTTGTTTACAACTTTATGAAACTGGTTTCGTGAAAAACCAAGTTTTGAAGCCCCGAAATCAATCGGATCAAAAACGTTTTATACTTCTCTCAGCGGTACAAATTTTCGAAATACAAGACAATTCTAGTATTTTCAAATTTTTTTTCCACCAAAAACTATGTTCGAAAAACTAGAACCGACAAAATAAAATACTGCTCGAATTTAGAGTTACCCGCACATTATAGATGCGCAGGACGACGTAGCAACGTTATGAAACTGAGGTCGGTTTTGTATTTTGTATTTTATGTTTTCAAACTTAACTGAAGTTATGTGGTGACTAATCATTATCTGAAACAGTCACAGATATCTAGTTTCGCATCATCAGAATATGTTTTGTGTGAAACTACTTTTCGAACTCACTCTTACAATGTCCTCCCCCCCCCACCTCCCGCGACATGATATACAAAATACAAAACCAGGCTCATTTATTGTTCTTTTCCAATAAACGAGTCTTCGCCGTAATGTCGTTCGAGGTATTGTCGTTCGAGGTAATGTCGTGTCACGGAGTAGCGTTTTCCTGTTACAGAGAATGGATATTCATCACTACCTGTCGTTGATTGAATATCTGATGTTGCTAACGTTTCATTTACCATTTGTTTTCCTTCTGAAATAGAATATCTTCAGCCAAGCAATATTTGTATTTATTATATAGCTTACTCGATTTTAATACAACGACTGGTATTATCACAGCACAAATAATCACACTAGCGGCAATGAAGCATATCAATGCACTGCTTTTTAGTGTTACCATTTTTTATCAACTAATATCAATTGTCTGATAATCGAAATACGATTCAGATGTCAACCTATAAAGCAAAGCTTCTCAGAGACTTGGTGCCAGTGCATTGGTTTTATGATTATTCGACTTCATCAACTCAAATTATTACAGAATTCAAAGAAACTCTCATGTTGAAAGAACTGTTTAAAGAATACGCGTTACACAAGGTTTTCTCTTAATTAGAAACAAAAGAGAATGAGTCCAGGTAACCTAACGTACAGAAGAATCAGATATCTGTTTGATATTCACATTAAGTTTATTAATACTTGGAGCTTCGTGAAGAGATATTCTTTTATCACAACGACTATAAGAATGAAACAGATGAAATCTATGCTTAAGAACAAGATGATAGTTATTGAAGAGTTTGTCGGCACCTACTTAGTGTCTAATCATCATAAAATACAAACGATACTGAATAGAAACTACTCGTGTGTGTCGAGCACAAGCGAAGAGGCATGTTAATGGAAAGCAAAACTTGATTTTTCAAAGTATTTTTCTTATAATTATATAAAATATAATTTAATGCCTGTTGTTAGATGTTGTTAGACAAACTTTTGAATGGTATTGAAAGGGTAACACTTCCTTAGACAATCAGTATATTTAACAACTGCGTGCAGTTAGACTTTTTTCTGTGGCACACTGATGATCTAATGAGAGATAGAAAATACAAAAAAGTGCTCTATCTCTATTTCCTGTTTCAGGTCATACGTCATGCTGCGATCCGTAAAAAGAAACTTGCAAGCAGAACCTAAACAGTCAGAATATTAGTATAAAACTTCAACCTCACGCGATTGTCAAACTTTAACATCAGATCCTCCAACTCTTCAGATCATCTAACTCTTTTAGAAACATTAAATAGAAAACGGAACATGAAGAAACATTTCATCTCAAGTGTATTTAGTACGTCGTCATGAAAATATATGTTTTATTACGATGTTACTTAAAAGAAATCATGCAACTGTTTGATGGCTGTCACTATCTTCATAATGATTGTCTTTGCAAGAATGGCATATTGTCACATCGGTTTAACGAACAAAAATTCGATAACTAAATGCTAGATTCAGAAATATTAAATAAGAAGAAATTAAAATGAATCCGCATGGATAAACGTTTCATTAGCCATCCGTTTAATACTTCTTTACAATTCTCGCTTCACATAAAATAATACGTTTACTTTTCATAAAAAAGGTTTGACGAGGTAAGACAACCAAATTCTCACTCATTTCTACTCGAAAGGTTCTTTCTAACCAGCTTTTTTGCTTCGTCAAACATTTCTCATGAAAAGTGACATGAGATGCATGGCCATATCACCGCGACAAAAAAAAAACGTTCATTTTAAATGAACGTTTTTTTTACGCAACTAATAGTTGCATAAAAAAACATGGAAAAGATCTCGGGTTTTTCTTGTACAGAAATTTATTTTAATAATTAAGTAAATTAATTTACCAACACAGACCTCACATAGATTATTTTTGTGGTAAAAAGTTAAGAAATTTCCTTTTTCATCTATTTATAAAGATATTATACGATGACGATGATGCTAGTGATAATCCTAATAATGATGTCAGTTTTTTGATAGTGCATACCTTACTCTTTTCGGATGACCTTTTCCTCGATGTTTTCCAAGTGCTTGTGGCATTTGTCTAGTACCCCACAACATCATCATACCAACTGCATGAACACATGCAAATTCTTTGAGACCATATCGACACGTACAAAATATTGTTGGTAAAAAACGAGAAAAATCTAATAAACGTGCTGAATGAAGCCAATCTTTAAAATGATCATATGAATCCCATATCATTGAATGTAATAGATTAACCCATGTTGATGTATTCATTTTTTTATCTTTTGATGGTACCACAAAGTTAAATGTATTCAATTGTAGTATTAACTTTTGTCTTATTAATGTCGTGTCTTATTAACTTTTGTCATCCATTCGACTACGTCTAAATCAAGATGATCTTTGTATGTAATATTAGTTGCAAATGATGTTTGTTTATTTTGAATAGATTGGTCGTAGACCATTCGTTCAGCCGTTTGTAAAAAGGCAGATAGTGGTAATTTGTGCCGCATTATATACGGTTGGAAAATATATTATTCCAGGGGGATAACACCATCATTTTAATTAGAGCAGGTGATGAATTTTATTCCAAATGAAAGCCCGTGAAAAACGGGATTTACTGATACTAAACAGTAAGGGTTATGAAGATCTTAGTGTATTAAACTTTCGAAGTTTATATAATTCTGTAAAATAGAAAAGTTATAATCTGCTTTTACCGGCTTGAAAGACCAAAAAGAAAGAAAGTTTCTCAGAAAAAGTTAAAGAGGGTATGTTGTAGTGGTCATACAGCGCAGCCTCCACTGAAAGGATATTATTATCTGTTCGCGTTCTGCTATCGATGCCTTGTGGTAGAGATTAATAAAAAGGCTTTTTTGTTTTTCTTCTGGGAGAAAGTTAGGAAAGAGAAAAGTTTGAATAGTTCGTGAAGTGGTATATAAGATCCATTTCTAATTGATATAAATCATAAAAAGAGAATCTGCATTTACTAGAGAACAGATTCTCTTTTTATGATTTATATCAATTAGAAATGGATCTTATATACCACTTCACGAACTATTCAAACTTTTCTCTTTC